CTTGCCTAGAATTACGTTCTAACCGCAAACATGCAAGCAAAAAGGTCACATTATTTACCAGTGAAAGCACCGTACAGTGATATCTGAGAACAGAGTAAAGGATATCTTAAGCGCCAGCGGGATGGCCAAAAAGAGAATTGCCGAGAAATTACTGTCCAAACTTGTACACTGTAACATCAGCCCTATGGAAGGGAAGGAAAAGAACAGATAGGGATTCCCTAGAACCCATAGAGAAGAACGGGTCAAACAATGGCAGCATGATGACACCATTTCTGAGGAGTTGTTAGCGCAAATTTTGAAAGAATGGCCACCATTATATTTGAAAACTACTGCTCCAGCATCAAAAAGTTAACACTAAAATTTCATGGCATCATGTTTGAAAAACGACGCAGTATACAATGGAAGTTTGACTAGCTTATGGTAATCGTCGACGGCGCGAAAGCAATAACAATGCATGGATAACGAGACTAACGTTTCCGACGTTAAACTCTCAGTACTGCTATAATAGACCAACAGCGATTTGTCAGCTTATTATCTGCCGTAAGATATATCGAGCGCAACGTCGTCAAAATCCGATGGACCGCACTGTGTTATACAATAAATAAGGAAAGTATTTCTGACCTTGACTGGTATTGCAGTCATACCTTGTATCCTCCGGTAACATCAGCAGTCCACGTGAAAGAATCGTACTGCTTTCGTATACCCTTGTAAAGGTTCACACCGGATGGAGAGTGCAGCTGCATGTCTACATCATTTTGGCCGCCAGTAACGACTTGATACTCCACCGTTGATTCGGTGCCTTTTTGAATATCTTCATGAAAGCACTGGTTTTCATTGTCAGGAAGCTCAAACGTTAATTCTATGGCATCGAGGAAACCAACCAATGCAATGAAAAAGAACAGCAGGTACCACATTATAATCCGCTTAAAGAACGTGTTCTTATTTTTCCTTCCAACCTGGAAAACAGTATAAATTGCATTTCAAAAGATTTGCACGTACAGAGATAGTAGAAGCGTTTAGGCGTTTCAATGCAATATTTAAGCCGGCCAGAAACGAAATCTTACCAAATATTTGTCCAAACAAATCGTCACATTGAAGTTTAATATGAGAGTAAAACATTAAATAATAGTAAGGCCAAAATCTGAAGGTTTAATTAACTCAAAGGCTTTCGAAATGTTATAACGGAGTACCTTTATCAACGGAGCAATAGTGATTTGATATTTTCAAGTTCATGAAAGAACACCTTTGGTTCAGGAAACTTTTAGTTGAGCAAACCATTGAATTTGGGTTTACTTCCGTTTTTTGTTTAATTTCTGATCACTTTCGGCTTCTTATGAGCTTCAAAATTAAAATTAAGATGTCTGACTTGAATGCATTACAGATGATTGTACACTGTTCAGTTGTCTGCCGTTGTGACCAGTCGGGTAGCAGTTTCGCTCCTCTATGTGATCCGGTTACGCGACGCCTGTGCGATGAATAGTGTACGTCCTCAGATCCGAACGTCTAGCTCCAAATTTGACTTCCAGCCAATCAACATCAGCAAGAGAAGATTCGTATCGCCTGCTGGAACGTGCGAACGTTAAACGGAGGCAGCAAGCTGGATGACGTTATTCATAAGCGATATCACTTCTACCTCCTTGCGATCTCAGAAACTCACATCCCTGACCAGGTAGAAGACCGCCTGGAAAATGGATGGCAGTTTCAGTGGTGTGGGAACCAGGATTTCAGATGCGAGTCAGGAGTGACTGTGTTGCTGTCGCAAGTGCAGTGAAAGCCTTGGTCTCCGCCCAGTGCACGAACGACTGGATGTTTGATCGCCGCCTTCAAACTAAGCACGTGAAGTTTATGGTTGTTGTCGTGTACGCCCCCACCAATGAGTTGAGTGATCAAAGGAAGGATGAATTATATGCGTGATTACGCGGAGTTCTCGATTCTCTTCCACACTATCAATTATCGATTGTCGCTGGTGATATGAACGCGCAGGTCGGCGGGGACAATTCCAACTTCGTGTGACGGGCTGCATCGCTGGGGGACGCCGCATGACATCGGTCGGCGGCTATTAGAATTTTATTCTATCCACGGCCTCATTGTCAGATGTGCGCTCTTTCTCCGCCGTCATATCCATCAGCTGACATGGACAGCAACGGTCAAATCCATCAGCTGACATGAATAGCGGTGACCGCTTTAGGAACCAACTGAACCACATATTGGTCAACAAGAAGTGGCAAGGCGTCCTTCACGACACCCTGGCAGGACGAGGAGCTGACATTGGCTCGGATCATTTCATGGTGGTCACAAAGTTTCGCTTTCAATTGGCCTCGCTCCGCGAAAGAACACGAAAGGGGCGAATGCCAGATTGGATACCAGCAAGTTATGGATCCAATAACTTGCACGGCGTTCCTATGTAAAACTAACAGCAGATTGACTGCTGTCAATGGCATGACCTACCAGGATCCAGGGTTATTCTGCCAATAGCTCAAGCAGGTATCGTCAGTGCCGCAGCTTAAACAAAAGGACGAAGTATCATTGGGTCTCGGCAGAAACCCTCAGTCTCCGTCAAAGAAGAAACGCGGTGAAGCACGAGTTTATACAGAGCCCTGAAGATTAGAAAAAACGAGAGTATCGGTATCTCATCAAAGTAGTGAACAAGAGTTAGCGAGGTGACAAGCGACACTAGATTGAACTCCAAGCGCAAAACCTGGAACAAACGGCTTCCAAGAAGGATTGGAAGACGCTATATCGACAAGTCGACATCGTCAAATCGCGGCAAACATAAGCCATAACTTGTTTGATTCGCAGCAAACCCAACGAGCCACTTTCAGATTCAGATGGTCTAAACACTTCGAAGAGCTCCTAAACCGGCTCGTTCCAACTGATGACCTGGAAATAGAGTTAGTAGACCGAGAAGAACTAGAAATTGACTGCTTCTTCCCATCGAAAGCTAAAATCCCAAGTACCACACATCTCTGCCGAATTTCGAAATCCAGCGAGCACGACAAAATTAGTGCGGAAAATCTGAGTGCCAAAGCGAAACTCCACTGAACTGGATTCATCTGGTTTTTGACAGTATCTGGCGAAAATCAAAAATCCATGAGAACTGGAAGCAGAACGTGATCGTTCCCTATTGAAACGTGGGAATCGTTTTGTTTGCGTCAACTGCAACGGGATCATGCTTCTGCCTTGATGGAAATGATAGTCGTGCGAATCTTCCTCCAAAGATTGAAAAACGCAGTTGAAGACCCGCTTCTATCAAATCAAACAGGGTTTCCAATTGGGCTCTCCTGTATCGACAACATTGCCGTTTTGATGAACATAATCGAACATGGAAAGTGCTCCCAGCTATCCTAACATGTAGCGTTCCTCCACTTCCGAACTGCTTTTGATTCGGTACATTCGTGGTCCTTACGGCGACACTATGGAGTACCGCAGAAGAATATGGGTCTACTGAAAGGACTGCACGGAGACGCTCAAGGCGCCATCACATTAGAAGAATCGCTGTTGTACCGACTTAACGTCAACAGTAAAGCCGGCCAAGGAGAGGTGTTTTTGTGATGCGGAAGAGGATCGCCCCAACAACAGCGAGGGATTTACTACCAGACAGCGACCCAGTCAAAGGTACTCAGCTGTATGTATCTCGAGCACATTGACGACATTGCGCTGCTGGATGACTTCGCCATTGGCTTAGCGGCAGCAATTCGACAAGTGTGCAGGGTGGTCTCGACAGTAGGCCTAGAAGTTGACGACCACCAAAACTAAAATTTTGCGTGCATCCGACTCGACTAATGACTCAAAGATTCAATGGCGTGGTGTGGTCATCGAATAGGTTGAATACTTAAAGTCTCTCGGCTCTGTACAGGCTAGAGATGAAAGCTGCGATTTGTAAGCAGAGCGGCACTTAGGTCTGAAAT